GGGAGAGTGCTGGCAAAGGAGGGGGAGGTGATGATGACGATGATGACGACGATGATGATGACGATGATGATGATGCTGCTGCTGCTGATGATGATGCTGGTGATGATGCTGATTGTGATGCTGATACTGGTGCTGATGCTGGTGATGACGATGGTGAGGATGATGCTGATGATGATGCTGCTGCTGCTGCTGCTGATGATGATGATGATGTTGCCGATGATGATGGTGGCGATGATGCTGCTGCTGATGACTATAGTGATGCTGATGCTGCTGGTGACGATGGCGATGATGACACCGATGATGATGCTGATCTTGATGATGATGACGATGCTGATCATGATGACGATGCTGATGACGATGATGATTATGACGACGATGATGATGGTGGTGGTGGTGGCTGTGGTGGTGGTAGTGCTGATGATGATGCTGATGATGATGATGATGATGATGATGATGATGATGACCATGATGATGGCGATACTGATGCTGATGCTGCTGATGGTGATGATCATGCTGATGCGGATGAGGATTCGGATGACGAAGATGGTGACGATGGTGCTGGTGATGCTGATTCTGCTGATGTTGATGCTGAGGCTGACGATGATGGCGATTATTGTGGTGATGCTATATTTGCATACATATACACATATACGTATATACATATATATATATATTATTGTCACTGTTGATCTTGCTGATGTTGATGATGATGACGATGCTGGTGATGCTGATCATTACGATGGTTGTGATGCTGATGCTCATGCTACTGATGCAGATGGTGATGCTGATGATGCTGATGATGCTGCTGCTGCTGGTGATGATGATGTTGATGCTGGTGATATACACTGGTGCTGATGATGCTGAGGATGATGCCGATACTGATGATGCTGATGAGGGTGATGCTGCTGGCGCAGATGACAATGCTGATGATGCAGATGAGGATGATGCTGATGCTGATAAGGCGGATGAGGATGGCGATGCTGATGGTAATGACGATGGACATGTCGATAATGATGATCATTACGATTAACATGATTGTGATGATGATGATGATGATGATGATGATGATGATGATGATGATGATGATGATGATGATGATGATGATGATGATGATGATGATGATGATGATGATGATGATGATGATGATGATGATGATGATGATGATGATGATGATGATGATGATGATGATGATGATGATGATGATGATGATGATGATGATGATGATGATGATGATGATGACGACGACGCTGATAATGGTGATATGCTGCTGCTGATGATGATGAGGATGATGATGAGGAGGAGGAGGAGGGCGAGGGGGTGTACGGAGGAGGCGGAGGAGGAGGAGGAGGAGGAGGAGGAGGAGGAGGAGGAGGAGGAGAAGGAGGAGTATGAGGAGGAGGAGGAGGAGGAGGAGGAGGAGGACCAGTGTAAGCCCAAGACTCATCAACGGTATTGCAATAAGCTCTCCCTCCAAGTTTCCTCTTCATAGGCTCCTGCACGGGTTCATTGTCACTAAGGGGAATGCCCCGTTGCAAGACAACCTTTGAACATTTTGAATTTTGCCAGAACGCCATCCCTGGGACTTCAATGCCGCGAATGACTGATACTCTTGCGTCTGTACGATCCTGAGCCGTGTCAGGTCACCGTTCCTGGGAGAACACCGCAAACCAAGGAGACTGGTGCGCCTTGACATTCCGACATCGCGCCAAAACGCCATTCCTGGAACGCTAGCTACGAAAAGCTTTGAATTCTTGCAAACGCTTAAGACGAATGTGCGCGGCGCTCAGGCGAGAGCCACATTTTGAAAAGGAGCCGCCTCCAACCGTGAAGTTCTTGCAAACTTTTAGAACGAATGTGCGCGGCGCTAATGCGAGAGCCACATTTTGAAAGCGGACCGCCCTCCATCCGTGATTGCTAGGGCCTTACGGCTGGTGCCGCCGACCCTGGAGGCCTCGGCCCTGAACGGTCATGGGAAGGAGAGGGCTGGCCATGGGCCCCGGGAGGGTGGTATTCTGAATCAGGCCCGCCCACCCCCGGAACCCCCCCCGGGGATCCCCCACAGGGACCCCCTCCAGGACCCCCCCCAGGACCGCCCCCCTGCCCGCGGGGAAGGGATCAAAGAGAAGGGGCTTCCCTTCGACTTAATGACAACGTTGCGTAATTTCGCTGTGGATGAGCTGGTGTATTTCGCGTTGGCTGGCGTGTGAGGACGAGGGCCCAGGGAGAAGGAGGCAGCGGCGACAAACTCAGGGGAACGAGGGGACGTGATGGCGGCGGCGACGCGACGGCGGCAGCGACGGCGACGGCGACGGAACAGCCCGTGTCACACGCCGACAGGGTCGGCTTTTCGTTGGGGAAGTTTCAAGAGTCAGAATAATAAATGGTGAGGAAGTCTCAGGCGAAACGCCCAACCCGCCCTTTCGACCGGCCTCGGGGTGCGACACGGAGGAGTTATTCATGAGGAAAAGGCACTGAGGCGGAGACGGCGAAGGCGGAGGTGGAGGAGGAAGAGAAAGAGGAGGAGGAGGAGGAGCAGGAGGAGGAGGAGGAGGAGGAGGAGGAGGAGGAGGAGGAGGAGGAGGAGGAGGAGGAGGAGGAGGAGGAGGAGAAGAGAATGAGGAGGAGAAGAATGAGGAGGAGGAGGAGGAGGAGGAGGAGGAGAGAGGAGGAGGAGGAGGAGGAGGAGGAGGAGGAGGAGGAGGAGGAGGGAGAAAGAGGAGGAGGAGCAGGAGGAGCAGAAGCAGGAGGAGGAGGAGGCGGAGGAGGAGGAGGAGGAGGAGGAGGAAACGTCGGATGAGGAGGAGGAGGAGGAGCAGGAGGATGAGTAGGATGAGGATGAGGATGAGGATGAAGATGAGGATCATGAGGAGGAGGAGGAGGAGGAAGAGGAGGAGGATGAGGAGGAGGAGGAGTTGGATTGGGGTAGAAGCAGATGAGGCGTTTAGGAGGAGGAGGAGGATGAGTTGGATTGGGGTAGAAGCAGATGAGGCGTTTAGGAGGAGGAGGAGAAGGAGGAGGAGGAGGAGGAGGAGGCGGGGAGGATTAGTGTAAACCCAAGACTCACCAATGATATCGCAATGAACCCTCCCTCCGTGTTCCCTCTTCATAGGCCTCTAGAAGGGTTCATTTTCACTGCGGGAAGTACCCCGCTGGGTGACAACTGTTTGAAGATCCTCAACCGTGTCAAGACCATTCTCGGGACTCCAACGCCACGAATCAACTTGACTGTTGCGCCCTGACGGTCCTGAACCAGTCAGAGCGCCATTCTTGGGACTTTTACTCCGCGAATCAATATACTTGTTGCGCCCTGGCAATCCCGAATCGCTCCAAATATTACCCTGGAGCGTTAACCTTGGGAATCCGTGACAATCTGGTAAATCAGAGTGAGGCGGATGAGCCGCGCGGTCATTCACTGTCCCTGGGTGCGTGGCTGAAGTGGAATTCTGCGATGCGGATTCTTGTTGTTGTTGAAGATTATTACTTCTAAAGAATAATTATTGTTGGGGCCCCTGGTGCGCGACCCCCCCGCCGCGCCTAGGCCGCAGCCACGTTTTCATCATTTTCGTGAGGAAGTCTCAGGCAAAACGGGTTGGTCCGGATCCGGTTGTGTTGTTACGATCGGTTTTCCCTTGCAAAAAATAAGCTAAAGTGGACATTTCTTGTTCTAACATAACCAAACTTCAAGAATCCCTTGCAAAAAATAAGGTAAAGTGGACATTCGCGCGCGCAAGACGAAATCCTTCCAAAACCTTAGTTTTCGTAGCGATTTTAACATAAAAACATCAAAAAACCAATGGTTTTTCAAAAAAAAAATGTCAAAATTTCATCCCGCGCGCTCTTGCGGATTCGTAGGAAACCCAACACTTTTTAAACATTTCTGTCAAACGGGCTTTTGCGAGCAACTTTTTCGAACTTCTGCAACAACGGTTGCGCACCTGCCAGGGCCATCATCCCTGTCAAATAATACCATGCGGGACACATTCGTTTTTTCTTCGCTCGCGCACGCCGTCGTCGTCGGCCGCGGGGCCCTGAATAGTAGCCACGGTCGTCCGCATGCCACGAAGTGAAGTGTCCGAACGTCATAGGGCGGGAAGCTGGGTGTGGGTGGTGGCGAAGAGTCGTTTGGAAATTTGGTAGAGCTTGAACCGGCCCCCCCACAAAGTGGGGGTATTGCCCGCCTCCTATGAAAACCCTGGCACTGGTGAGAACGGAGTGTCCCCACGTGCTAGTAATTGTTGTTGTTGTTGTTGTTGTTGTCGTCGTCCCACCCGCGACCCGCCCCGCGACCCACCCGCGACCCACCACGCGACCCACCCGCGACCCACCCGCGACCCACCCCGCGACCCGCCACGCGACCCATTCCGCGACCCACCCGCGACCCACCCGCGACCCACCCGCGACCAACCCCGCGACCCGCCCGCGACCCACCCGCGACCCCCGCGACCCACCGCGACCCACCCGCGACCCACCCGCGACCCACCCCGCGACCCACCCGCGACCCACCCGCGACCCACCCGCGACCCACCGCGACCCACCCGCGACCCACCCGCGACCCACCCGCGACCCACCGCGACTCACCCGCGACCCACCCAAAATTTTCGGCGCCTGCGGCGGGTTTCTTTTGCATTCGTTCCAGCTGGGGAACCTGCGACCCACCCGCGACCCAAGCCGCGCCCGCGACCCACCCGCGACCCACCGCGACCCACCCGCGACCCACCCATGACCCGCCCCGCTACCCACCCAAATTTTTTGGCGCCTGCGGCGGGCTTCTTTTGCATTCGTTCCAGGTGGAGAACCTGCGACCCAAACCGCGTTCAGTGTACAAATGAAAATTTTCGGCGCCTGCGGCGGGCTCTGTTTGAATTTTTTCCAGGCGGAGGTGGAGAGCCCGCGATCCACCCGCGACCAAAACTACGTTCACTGAACAAGCCGACAATTCGGCGCCTGCGGCGGGCTGTTTTTGCATTCGTTCCGGGTGCCCCACCAGCGATCCCCCCCGC